TTTCCTCCCCTAGAATAAAGTTGTTCATAATGAATCACAAGAGTACAAATGTATCATACCATATTAGAACAAGCTTCAGATTCCTAAATTCTCTTTACGCAGGTAAAATTCACACCAAAGACTCTGATCAGAGTTGTCCACACCAAAATTAATAAAGTAACACTCATCCCTTGTATCCTATCGCAGGCCACATAGCACCATGCATGTCCTGACTACACAACATTTACGGGACTAGTGGTTGTCTGGCAGTTGCATTCTCATTTCCCATGCAGAAAATCTGGTTCACTTTCGGAACCATGCATTTCATTCACAACAGCCACCTGTCTGTAGAGGCTACTACTGTGTTGCAATGAGGCTGCAGGGCTTCCAGATGAAGACAGACTATGAAGGAAGCACTGCTAACTGTATGATCGGCTAAAGCAACCATCCAGGAAAAGCCCTGTGGGCCATAGTGGTCCACGGTCAATGTCAGCGCCATGAGAACACAGGCCAACTCAATGACATCATGAGTGGTGCATGGAGACGGGTGTGAACCAGTAACACTGTCAGAGCGGATGGCACAAAAAACTCTGTCAAAAAGTGATTCTTCAGCAGAAATGCATTAACTTTAATTAAAATAGCCCTATAAGTAGTTATAACAATAAAAACTTTTTATCCATAAGCTTAGCTGAGGTAGAGTCAATTATTATGGCCCTTCTGGCCATCATTCCTTATGTGATGTGCTAGCATTCTGGACTCAATGCCTGCAAACATAATTAAAGAGTGAGCTGTGCTGCTAACCATTAGGTCAGCAGTTCAAAATCACCAGCCACTCCAGAGGAGCAGAGCAGAGGAGCAGCCCTGAAACCCAAAAGGAGCGGAGGAGCAATGCTGAGACCATAAGGCAAAGAAGCGAGACCATGAAATAGAGCAGAGGAGCAGCACTGAGCCATAAGGCACGGCACTGGGCTTCCTGGACCATGGTTCAAAGCAGAGGCCCGGGGACCACCGAGCAGAAAGGTTAAGGACCAGGGAGACATGCCTGCCAGCAAGGCTAAGCAGAGGCACTGCAGACAAAAGACTTGTATCCTTAACATTCTGTTAGCTTCCCTGGTAAACACCCATCACAAAGAGCATTGTCTGTGAGTTTGTGTGGACATTACAATGAATTATTGAACCCAGTAGAAAAGTCGTTTACAGAAGAAGGAACAGCTGCTGTCAGAATAAGGTAATGAGGGATGGCTTTGAGCTAGCGTGGACTTTGGGTCTTTCTCTCTATTGAAGCCAGAGGCGGTCAGCTGTGGCACCTATGCCAATTTCTTGGTGCTAAAAAACGAAGTAATAATAGGTATAAATGGAACAGGATTTTTGTTTGTTTTAGTGGTGTCCCATTTAAGAATAGAAATACTTTCTATACTGCTGCTTCATAAATTCCCCAAGCCTGACTTCTGTTTCCAAACACAGAGTCTGTCTAGAAGAAAGAGAGGTAAATCCAGTGCCCCACCCTGCCGCAGAGTATTCTTAGCCACTGGCACGTCTGGGATGGGGTACAGTGATGAGAGCTCAGATGGAAGCCATTTCCACGCATGCCTCTAATGCAAACGAAGTCATTGTAGAGCCATCTTCAGAAACGCTAGTGTCCAGGGTTAAGTAATTGTCTCAGAGCTAGCATTGCCAGGGCAAAAATCTGGAGCAGTATAAAAGCATGATTACTTGATTTTGAAACAAATTCTACCACAGCTGAAAAGATGGGTTTCTGCACTGGTTCTTCAAACCCCAGAAGAATTCCAGACAAAGCTCCCATGGAAGGTGCCTTTGTTGGGTTAGGCCAAGAAGCAAGGAATGTCCTTTATAGGCATTTCCATATCAGAGTCAGTTCCAGGCCACCAGACACAGATGTACGCCAATGTCTCCCTGTGAACACTTCCCAGATGTGCTAAATGTAGTGTAGCCAAGATAACTAGCAGCCACCTTCTGAAATTACAACAAAACATCTCCATAAAAAGACATCGTTCGTGGCCAGAGAAGACCTATTGACAGCTGCAATGGCTGAGAGCAGGCCCCACCCCAACCCCGGCCATTGCCGATTGAACGAAATCCAATCTACCAAGAATTAAGAAACGCAGGAATTTATCTATAATACATTGGAAGCATAATGAAAGTTGTGAAACCTAAGAAGAGCTAAAACTTATCCTGGTGGCACAGTGAACAGAGTACTGGGCTAATCACCAGGTTCCGAGGACAGACACGCATCTGCCTGCTGGTCTGCAGGAGGAAACTGAAGCAGCCAGCCTGCATGAAGACGCAGGGACGAGGAACCCTAGGGATCGGTTCTATTCCAGTCCCCAGAGCAGTGCTTCTCAACCTTCCTCAGGCCACGACCCTTTCTTACAGTGCCCCATGTGGCGGTGACCCCCAACCATAAAATCATTTTCCTTGCTACTTCAAAACTGTCATTTTGCTACTGTTATGAATCGGGCGACCCCTGGGAAAGAGTCGTTCGACGATGCCCCAAAGGAGGTCGAACAGGTTGAGAACTGTTGCTCCAGAGTCAGTGTGAGTCAGAATTTGGCTCGATGGCACCAGATTTGATTTATTTGGCTTTTCTTGTTGTTGTTTGTTTGAGAAAGGACTGAAGAGTTGGATGCTTTAAGAAGCACAACACTATTCCCCTTTAATAGGGGATAATAGCAGTAGGAATAAAGAATACAAGGAGGCGATCTTTGAGAGCCTCATTCCACATGTGTCCTCCTCCCCGGGGATACGTGATGCACAAATCATACGTTTTTTCCGTTTTGCCTAACATAATCTAGACGTCATCCAAATTGCACACTGTAACAAGAATCCTAGAAAACTAAATCCTCAGCTAGAATTTACAAAGGCAACGAAAAGTGCAAACTAAAAATGTGTAATTTAGTTTCTTCCCTCAAAGACTAGTGATGAGCTATTAATCAGCCAGGACAAGAACGTCAACAAAATGGGACTGTATATGCCTGCAGCCACCACATAGTTTTATTTTAATGTTAAACTTTAGTATTAACATAATTGGTGTTGCACTAACCTTTGGCTTCAATGACAACATGTTTGATTAGCTATTTTTCCTCATTTGAATTCCTAGGGGTAAAAAGGTACATTTCCAATTTCAAATAAATTATTACAGTAACTGTATCTTAATGGAATTATATTAGGTTCACCATTATAATCGACTGAATTGTCAGGGAGCTCTTTTGGGAAAATCTGACCAATTTCCGATAATGGAACTGTCTAATGGCTTGAACAGCTTGGTCTCTGCGTCACAGGAGTGCACACCAACTCTTTGTCACAGTGCTTTTGCCAACTTTCTTAAGATAAGCCACACAAACTTCAGTAGTAGTTGTCATTGCATACAGTTACAAGATGCTCTTATTGACACAATGTCACAATCATTATACGCTTTACAAACCACATGGAAGTTTCAGTCATGCTAATAAATCACTTCGACAAAGAACAACTGTGGAAATATTAAAAAAAAACACACAATTATCCATACAATGCAATAACAAGGAACTTCCAGGTTCCTTCCTCCCATCCTTTCTCCCTGTAACTCATTACCTCACATACTTAGTTCCATTTCTACCATGAGCCAAAGGAGCTCTCCTGGGGCCATGGATCCGTGCCTGGCTGGTAGTTGGACCCACTCAGCGCACCACGGGAGAAACACCTGGCATTCTGCCTCCATCAAGACCACAGCCACACAAACCCTCGGGGCAGTTCCACTCTGCCACGTGGGTCGCTGTGAGGCAGCATCAAGGCAATGGTATGAAATAGCAACCGCCACGTGTCAGGAAGGAGAAAGGTGGGTCTGCGCAGCAATTCAGAGACATTTCAAACACTGAACGTTGGAACAGATGGCGTTTGCAAGTATACTCTTCAGACGAGTGACTCTACTTCTGAAATCTGGGGGGTTACACAGTCAACCATGGATGAGGTTTAGACACTTGGTTGCTGAAGATAAGTTCATGAAACCACTCCCAGTATATCAAATATCTTTGCCAAGACAAACAGGGCAGCTAAGAAGGCGTGGTTATAGGGCAAGTTGGTGCTCCTTAGATGGTAAGAAATAAAGGAAACGGCACCAGTTCCCTTTGAGTGTTTCCTCAGGGTCTGAATTACAGGAGGCATCCTGACTGACATCTAACTTAAAACCCAGTGCCATCGAGTCGATTCCAACGCATAGTGACCTCACAGGACAAAGCAGAACTGACCCTGTGGGTTTCCAAGTCTGTACATCTTTACAGGAGTAAGAAAGCGTTACCTTTTTCCCACAGAGCAACTGCTGGTTTCGAACACCTGCCCTTGAAGTCAGCAGGCCAACGCACACCCACACACTCAACGCTCTTCTTTCTCAACCATCTTAAACACAGTCTGTTTAGGTTCAAGGCAGAGCACGTATGTCATTCCTCCCCAACAGTGCTTGAGACTGGATTTATGCTTGGACGAGTTTAGTTATCTGATGCCGATGAAGAAACTTTCATCTGATCTCTACACCACAACTACCTTAGAAGAGAGCAAAGACGTAAAAGATGAGCAGACACACTTTCAATACCATTTTCTTATTGAAAATGGACTCATCGTCTATCAACGGCTCATAAAATACACTCCAATGGCAAAGGTTCCAAACCAGAATATGGCACCCTCGGGGGTTCACTAGTTACAGCGCCGTCAGTGCAAGCACGGGAACTTACATCAAGGCCTGCAAAGGCATGTCAAGTGTTGAATTCAAAGCTGGAGTAAAGACCGTGTCACCAAAGATAGCACTGTGAGCTAGGCAACTCATTAACGCGCGACAGGTACCGAACATCCCAGCGCACTCAGTAAGTAAAAGCTGGAGTGGGGAGGAGGCACGAATAAATGGAAAATCATATGTGAAGTACACAGGAGAGAGGCTTTCCTTCTGGAGCGTGGGAAAATCCGATTGCCTTTGAGGTTCTGAAGTTCTAGCCACAGATGCTGTGACCCTGTGGGATTTCCTCAAACATGTAGTAAAGACTGGGGCCACGGGCACAACTTTGCGAGGTGGGGTTGTGACTGTGATGGGAAGTTAGGTTGGTTCGGATTCATGGTGGCTCCATGTGTTGAAAGACAGCACTGTTGGGCTCTGTATGCACCTTTCTGCACCTGTGGAGGCTCCTGTCCTCAACAGCCCTGCAATCCATGGGCTCAGAGCTGCGACTGACAACTGCGAATGTCTCCCCATAAAAGAACAGGAGCAAGAAAAGGAGCCATGTGACTCAGAAGCACTGGCAAGGGGACACGTGGTAGGGAATCATTTTTTTTTGCCTCCACCCCCCCACCCCTTGTTCCTCTCATGTCCTCCCCTGCTATACACACAGAAACCTCATCCTTTTTGTGAAAAATAGAGATTTTCTTTTTCTGAAGTGGGAAGGGGAAACTAGTACTTATACTTAGTTTAATTAGTAATTATACTAGTTAAACTAGTATTTAAACTAGTACTAGTATACAAACTAGTACTAGCATACTTATACTAGCACTTATTAATCAATGCAAACAATTTGACTCACTGGCCTTATGATCTCAACAATTTTATTTAACTAAGTTTCCCCATCTGTGGATAAATAACATCCGCATCACAGGGCTGTTTTAAGGCTTAGAAATTATATAGGAAAACCCAAGAGGTCAAAAGTCATATTAGTGTTTGCTATGATATCAAAAAATGTTTAATGAATCCAATTTTTAGCATTAATTTGTCCACAAGAGCACCTTTTTACCATAAGAATTTATCAATTCTCATGAGCTAAACATTGTGTTCTACATGCAAAGCATAATTTCCAAAAATGTTTACAGTGAAAAACTGAGACCATGACTAAGAACCAATGGAAATTAGAAATTCCTTAAATCCTCATCAGTATCCCAAGTACCAACACAAATATTATCAAAAGAAAATGAGGCCTTCTGTCAAGGAAACTTACAGACACTTGAACCAACTAAAAGAAAAAAAAAAGTGCCGCATGTCTATTTTATGAAGAGCCTATTTCCAAAATCTTCGACTAGGCTTATGAACATTGTTTTGAAAATCATTTTGTTTCTCTGTGGCCTACATCAATGCGGGGGTACCACTGTTCTCTGTATCTAGGACTAGAACGAGAGGCGACGTCACTGACAAGTCAAACTGTTTTAATGACATGAAAGCACATTGCTGTTGCGAAAGCACAGCAGCAGGCCGTTCTGGAAGCTCACCGTGTGCTAGGTGTTTGCAAGAGGAGCACACATTTCACAGGTTTGTGAACCGTCCATTGAAGTGAGCTTCTGAAAGAAACATGAGCACATTCTCAGGCTGCAAAGAAGCTTAAAATCCTCAATAAATTCCATTTGCGGTAAACCAACTATTTTGAATTAATAACGTGAAGAAAAGAAAGAGTCATCTCAGTGAACTACAGGTTGAAAATCTTTTCCAAACAGGAAAATAACCAATGAATGAATCAATCTCTCTCTTTTTCTTTCCCCTGCTCCAGAATCTTCACTGAGAGAGAGAGAGCCCTAGGGTTGGTGCTGGGTGACTACAAGGTCAGCAGTTCAAAGGTACCAGTACCCCCTAGGAGAAAGATGAGATTCTCTGCTCCTGTAAAAATTTAAAGTCTTGAAAAAACCTACTCAGGACTGTTAGGAGTTAGAAACAACTTGATGTAAGTGAGTTTGGGGGTATGAATTTTAATGCATATTCATAATCATCATTTATCAAGTCTTTGAGCTTCTAAGAGTATTGGTCGCTCCCTTTGGCACTGCTGATAACAGAAGGCTGGGAGGCTTCTAAACAGTCAAATGAACAAGCATATCTCCTTCGCTGCTAGAAGCTTACATATTTCTTTGATTCTACACTGCACAATTTTATTAACATTTTAGCATTTCTGATAGCCAGATCATTTTAAAATCAATGGTATGTCATGGTCTAATTAGCAGCATTTCTTTTCTTTCTTGTGATAAATAAAATTACATTATGCCTTACAACTGATGATAGAATTGATGAAATATATTGAGTGAAAAAATAAGTATGCCATTTAACAACGACACTGTACCTCAAACTAAGCTCCAAAAATCACAATTGTCATTGTTGTCAGAAACAAAGAAAGATGGAATTCTATAAGAAATTTGGAGATTTAATCTTTGGTCATTTAATCTTGTGATCGAATATTTGATATCCAATATTCACCACTAAGTGTTCTTTTTGACATAATCCATTACCATCATACATGTTGATGCTATATGCCTTGAGTTATGCTTGCATTAAGATTAGCAAAGAACATAACACTATTAACAGAGTGTTGTATTTATTATAAATCGAGAGTAATAAAAGGTAAATAAGAGATATATAGTTAACTAAATGATGAACCATCCATACTATTAAATGTCTCTCTTTGAAAATGCCACCATCGAAAGCATCTCACATTCACTAAAACCAGTTGTTACGTTACTTCTGAATCATGACGCCCCACCATGTTAGGGTTGAATGGTGCTCCATGTGGTTTTCAATGGCTGATGCTCAGAAATACGTTGACAAGTCTTTCTACCAAGGCTTCTCTCTGGGTGGAATCAAAGTGCCAATCTATCAATTGGCTACTGAGGATGTTACCTGTGTGCACCAAGAGATTCTTCCCACCCCTTAGATGAATAAAATAAAAACACGGGCAGTGGCAAGACCTGGCCAAGATGTGGAGAAATTGGAACCCTTACACATTGCTAGTGGAAATGTAAACTACAACCATTTTGGAAACCTGTTTGGCAGTTCCTTATACTCAAACAGTTACTCTATGACCCCACAATTCCACTCCTAGGAATAAAGCAAGAGAAACAAAAACCATGTTCACGGAAAACTGTGTGCACATCATTCACAACAGCCAAAAAGGCATAAACCACCCAAATAACAATCGATTGATGAATATATTAAAAAATTGTGATATAGCTAAACAGTAGAATATTATTTAATATTAGCAATAAAAAGAAAAAGAAGACTGTCACGAACACACACACAATGCATTATTTTATTTAGATGAAATGTGCAGAGAGACAAATCCACAGATACAAATGAGAGATGAGTGGTTGCCTAGGATTGGGAGGGGCTGCTAACGGGTATAGAGTTACTTTGTGGGGTGAGGAAAATGTTCTAAAATTAGAAAGCCGCATTGCTTGCAAATCTGTCAATATATGAAAACTCACTGTAAGAGGGTCAATTTTATGATAAATGAATTATCTTTCAATAAAGCTGCTAAAATAAATTCATAAGATTTGTTTTAAAAAACCAGCCTAAATTATTTTAAAGTGCATATCTAACGGGAAAAACTATCAGTTCTGTCTGGATTTTTGCTAAGCAGCTAAGCCATTATTGCTACTTACCACAAAGTTCTTGCATTTAAATACATCTGTACAACAGATGTATTCTAATGGCTCATGTTTTGGATGTTACATCTGCTAGTAAAATGTAGTGAGGCTCAAACTGCTAATTAAATATGAAATTGTATGTGTCAATTAGGAGCCAATTTCTTGTTAAAACTGCTTAATGTTTCAGGCACAATAAATTGAACTAGTATCTACGAGTGGTTGGTTTTGACCTGTGTGGGAAGGCGGGCCAGTGCACCGAATACAGGCTAGACA